CCCAGCTTAGCAACTCCTGAATTCCAACTGCACTGCCTGTTCGCAACGATAATAAATATTTTCATTGTGGTTTAAGACACTAAGCTCTGCGAACTGGATTCATCACTCAGGGCAATAGAAAGCAAAAATAATGCTTAATTTCATTTGCTTTAATTTTAATTAAGTATGGCATTCTTTTTTCTGCATGCTTCATGGTTTTATGGCTCTTTTCTTTTACTTGCTCATTTATTTGTCATTTGTTGGGTTCTTTATCGTGTGATCTTACTGATTACTTAAAGAGCTCTTTGCAGATCAAGAGTTGAAATTAGACTTCCGTTGCGCTATATGGTATCAAACATTTTTTCACAGTTTATACTTTTGATTATTTTGATTATAGAAGTTTAAACTTCTTACTATGGTTTAGGTTAACTAGTCTGTCCCATCCATACACTTTAGATTTTGCCCCAGACTTACTAAAAGCTTTCCTCATTCATAGTTACAAAAATTGTTTGTCCATGCTTTCGTTTTTTCATACTTTGATGGGTTTCAATTTTATATTAAAATTTTTTCTTTAGAATTTCTTGTGGTGTGGTGGGGGTGGGTAAAACTCCTAACTTCTTTCTTTCTTTCTTTTTGAAACAGAGTCTCACTTTGTTGCCAAGCTGGACATGGCAGTGCCGTGGGATCAGCCTAGCTCACAGAACCTCAAACTCCTGGGAAGCAATCCTCTGCCTCAGCCTCCAAGTAGCTGGACGACAAGTATGCGCCACCATGGCGGTTATTTTTCTTATATATTAGTTCCAATTAATTTCTTTCTATTTATAGTAAGAGACGGGTCTTGCTCTTGATCTAGGCTGGTTCGACTCCTGACCTCAAGCCAATACTGCCCACCTCAGGCCTCCCCAGAGTGACAAGTCAGCGTGAGCCACGGCTGGCCAATCCCTCAACTTCACATAGGCTAGGCCATTGTATGATCATTATTAATCATGCCTCCTCCATGGACTGAAATACCTGTCATCCATCCCAGACTATGGCCTATTGGTTGGGGTTTTATTTATGTCTCTAGATTCTCTTCATTTGGATTGTGTCTATTCTCTGTGCCCATTTAGCTCTTCTATTTATGCGGAGAGTATCCCTGGATATGGTCATGTGTTTAATTTTCTAGAATAATTTTGGAATCAATTGTGACTCTCAATAAGTGCATAATCTATCCTTAATATTTTTATTGCACCAAATTTACGGAAATTGTCCCTCATTGGAGAGTAAAGTCGTGTTTTGTATCAGTTCATGTCTGTTTTTGTTGTTTTTTGATAACTTTAATTTAGGCCCTATATATTTCATAGTAACTTTATTCCTAGCTTTTTAACAGACTTGAGGGATAATTTGCATCAATACACTGCCAGATATATAAGATATCCGTTTGATAAGTTTGGGCAAATGTATATGAACTCATGAACAGCATCAACGAGCAGTCAAGATGACAGACATATTCCATCAACCCAGAAGCTTCTTCTTGCCCCTCTGGTAATCACCATCCTCCCGAACCCACATGATCTGCTTTCGTAATCATATAGATCTTACTTTTCATTTTTCAGAATTTCATATAAATGGAAATCATACACTAATGGACTCTTTTTTTGGTGTGATCTCTTTTACTCAACATTAATTATTCTGAGATTCATTCATGTTGTTCTATGTACCCATAGTTAATTTTTTTCCATTCTGAGTAGTATTCCATTGTATGAATGTGTCACAATTTGTTTATCCCATTCAGCTGCTGAAGGGACATTAGGATGGTATCCAGTTTTGGCTATTACAAACAGAGCTGCTAGAATATTATGTATAAGGTCTTTGTAGACATGTGCTTTCTTTTCTCTTTTTAAGTTACCTAAGAGTGAAAGTTTGGGCCACGTGACAGAGTATTTAATGTATGTAGAACTGCTAAACTATTAATATATTGTACAGTGGCTGTATCATTTTCACTTCCCACCCGCAATGCACATAAGATTGTTTTGTGTCCTATTTCTAGTTATACTGAACTGGTAGAATAGAATGGGGTCTGTTTATTCTTCTTTTTGGCAATTTACATAGGTTTTCTTTATATGCCCTACAAAAGGTTGATTTTTATAAATGTGGTATTGGTACTTGAAAAGAAAGTGTTCACTGTGCTCTGGATATAGAATCAACTTTATTGATTAGATAATTCAGAGCCTTTTATAGGCCTCTTACTTTTTGTCTATTGTATCTGTCATGTGCTAAGAGAAATGACTTTCAGTCTCTTACTGCGTCATTATGTTTTGCCAATTTTTTCTTATTTTCTGCAGTTTTGCCTTATGAATTTTATTTATTGCAAAAAAGATTCATGACTGCTATAGTTTCATTGTGGATTGTCTGCCTTAGAATAAGCGTCTCTTCTTTGTTTTTTACAACTACTTCTCTTAATTTAGTTTGATCTTACCCAATTTTACATTTACCAGCCTTATATTCTTTTTGGCTAAATCTTTGAAGCATTCAATTATGGAAATTTTCAAACGTGCCAAAAGTATGAAAAAAACAGTATAATAAACCCACATTATATCTAGTATCCCAGTTTCAATAATTATCAACTGTTGGCTAATCATGTTTGACCTCTGAACACGTCCTCTATTTGGATTATTCTGAAGCAAATCCCCTGATATAAGTTCATTCTGTAAATATTTCAGTGAATATCCTAAAAACAAAGTCCCTTAAAATAACCACAAATCCACTGTCACCCTTAAAATGACAATAATTCCTTAGTTCACCCCACTATCATAGTCAGCATTCAAATTCAACCTAATTAGTTTTATAATTTTATGGTCTGTGTCAATTCAAATCAAATCATAATCTAGATAAAGCCCATACGGTATAACTGTGTCTTTTAAACCCATATGTTTTTCTCCATCTCCTCTTTCTCTCTGTCAGTGGACTGTACTGCAACTTCATTTCTCTTGTAGTTTCTGTGCACAGCCTTGATTTTAAGGAGTCATCCCTCTCTTCTCCTTAATGTGTTCCCAGTCCTTGATTTGTCGTGAATGTGTATTTACATGTCTAGAGGCTTGATCAGATTCAGATTAACATTTTGGCAAGAAAACTTCATATGCAGTATTATGTACTCACATAAATCAGCATATTTTGCCTATATAATTTTTAGATGTTATCTCATTTTTAATCGGACTCCTATTATCATGCAGGTGGAAAAGAATGGTGGCAACACTATTATACTTATATGACTTCTTCATTTGTAAACGGTATACGCTGTAACAGTAACACGGATTTGGTTACTCATGTAGAATGTCAAGACAAACTAGTGTTGGCTACGCCTCCCTACACGTAGCTGCTCTTCCCTACTCAAGAACTGTCACGATTAGGTTATTTTTCCATTACCTTAGAATTCTCCAAATGAGGTGACTGAGTCTCTGATTCTCCACTTCAACCCCGTAACGCTACTTAACTTTGCCCTTTCTTCTTCCTTCCTCTTGACGTTCTACTTGAACCGCCTACTGATTTCTAACCATACTCTCGTTACTGTTCTCACACCTATGGAAGAAGCTCTATCTTTTAAATCTATAGAACTTCACCTTGCTCCTACTTCGTGCCCTGCCCTGGCCACCCGTTTAAGGTGACATCACACAGTCCTCTTTTACCCTGAGCAGCTCCATAGTCAGTCTTGTACATTCCTACTCTGGTGACAACAAAGCTTCCAGATCCAACCTTCTTATTGCTCTTTTGTACCAGAGTTTCGGAATCACGTCATCTTCTCAGAAGCCTGACTGCTGTCTCTTGTGGCGCGCGTTATATAGAGAGCCACAGGTCGGTATAAGATGCTGTATATTCTGCGTATGTAGTTCATTGTGCCTCAATGCTGTTCTGCGCTCACGTCGCATCGGCCTTGCGACTTTCAACCCTTTCAGTCGTCTCTATCTTCTGAAAAAATGACGTTCTTTTTTGCTTCAGACAAACACAGTCTGAACTTAATATCAACAAACTGCGTTTTTCCACAGGTTCTTTGAATGTGTAATTGGTAGTAGACACATTCGAGGAACTGATCACTCATTCAGCTCTACACCACGCCACTATGCCGTGAGTTATAGCACTACTTATATTTTCCTGTTAGAAGCTGAAACCATACTACTAAGTGAAGTATCCCAAGAAGGAAACAAGCACGAAGTCGTAGCAACGGAAACTGGACGACCAAGGACACTGGCTGAGTAATAGTGTATGGGAGGTGGGAGGGGGAGGGGGGGGGTACCTCTACATACATGGAGGGACCATCTGGAGTCATGCATGGAACTGCAGACTTTGGGGGCCTGCGAACAATTGCGTGCATTTACATCTGAACGCTCTGTAAATCACTGGTACCCCATCAATCGATACCAAAATGTAAAAAATAATTAAAAAAAAAAAACAAGAATTCCCTACAGTTGGCTTCCTATATGACCACCTTTAGAGTGTTATCTTCAACTTATACCTGTAACTCTCCTTCAGTAAGCTCTTTAACTCTTCTTCACACAGTGTTTTTTGGTGTTGCGCATGTGGAAGACCAGTTAACAGACTGACATGAGCCCACTGTGACTCTTCTATTTCTGTGAAATGAATTGTTTGGTCAGAAGTGATGTATGAAATACTCTGAGGCTGGAATAAAGCATTTCACAAATCTAAGAGGACCTCGAGCAATCCGCCCGCCTCGGCCTCCCAGAGAGCTAGGATTACAGGCGTGAGCCACCGCGCCCGGCCAAAAATCTACACTTTTAACCATCACTAAGAAATAGTCGTATTTATTTCTTCTTCTCTGGAGAGATCCCTTTCCTACTGGTTCTCTTAACTTCTCAGACTACTTCCCTAAGTGCCATCACCTTTTTAAATTTAAGATTCAGCACTTATTAAACTGGAACTAACCGATGAGCACACGTGTGCACAGCACTAACCGATGAGCACACGTGTGCACAGCGGGAAGTAAAACTCAGTGGAAATCAAGCAGAGGGAGGGGGAGGAGGGGATGGGTGAAAACCTACCTAATGGGTACGATGAACACCGCTGGGTGATGGGCACACTTATAACCCTGACTCCAGCCTAACAAAATCGATACATGTAACCGAAAACATTTGTAGCCCCCCCCCCGCCATGATATTTTGAAATTTAAAAAAGGGGAGCAAAAAGATTCAGTCCAGTTTACTTTAATGCATCATGGAATGTGACTTAAAGTTCCCTCTCTACCTTACACCCCCTGGCTAGAGTATAGTCACAGAGTGGAAGCAGCAGGACAGATCTGCTCTGCACGCCCTCTTCCTGCTGATGTGTCTGTTGGCTCCTTGTGGACAATGGTGGTTCCACCCGCCTGTTGGTGAGGGGCCAGCGCTGGCGCCGTCAGACTTGGCCACACGCTCATGCTCATGCTGATGGCATCAGGTTGCATTCCTCAGATGTCTGTTCCTCTTTGTTCCCCATTGTGGTGGTCCCTGCAAAACTGGGCTCCCTTCTGTCATCTGCTCCCTGTGGCAACCCCTGGGCCCTGGGGTATTCGAGGGATCTCTCTTCCACGTGTTTTGGCTCCTGGGAAGCAGGGCGAGTGATCCGGTGTCCTTCCGTGACCGCCCAGTGCTCTTACCCCTTGCGCTGGTAGCACAGGGAAAGCTCAGCACGAACTTTGGTTTTCCCTACATTTATTACTGCACCAGTCACAGACCAAGGCAAGAGGGATCCCTGCCCTGGGCCCCACAAGTAACAAACACTGTTCCAGACCCAGAGGAAAGCCGCTTTGTGTCACCTTCCCTACATCCCAAACCAAAGGTGACTGTGTCAACACACAAGGGAGGTGTGTGGGTGGCTCTGTTGTGGGTGGGGACCACCAAGGCAGGCGGGGCGTCTGGAGATCTGAGTGGGAGACGTGCTCAGGTAGGAGAAAAGAAAAATTAACATGTCAAAATCCTTCTTCTCAGATAGTGTGAAGACAATACATTTTGGCATAACAAAATTCCTTTTCCTGATAGGACCTAGCTCCCTTTTTTTCCTTTTCTTTGTATTCCAGTTCATGGTCCGGGTGTGAACTGGCAAGCTATCTGCCAACAGTTGCACAAAGTAGCCGAAGAACATTTTACAATACTGAACAATTAAAACTGGTCTTAAATGTGTATATCTTCAAAATGATAAAATTGAAAAATTTGTAAGCAGTTATGGTCTAAGTGATTGAAAGATGGCAAAAATCAAAGATGATGAATTTATTTATTATTGTGCATGTCTGGCCATTCTGTTGATGGTCCAGTGATGTGTGGATGAGTAATAAAAGCATATTTATTTAATTATTTTATTTTTATTCCATAACATTTACTTCTTTACTTTCATTTCATTAAAATCAAGATTTATATAACATGCATTTTATTGACAATAATATCAGATTAGATATATCTAATGTCTATAATACATTAACATAGTTCTTGAATGGTTTTTTTTTTTTTTTTTTTTTTTTCTCACTTTGTTGCCCAGGCTAGAGTGAGTGCCATGGCGTCAGCCTAGCTCACAGCAACCTCAAACTCCTGGGCTCAGGCGATCCTCCTGTCTCAGCCTCCCAAGTAGCTGGGACTACAGGCATGTGCCACCATGCCCGGCTAATTTTTTTGTATATATATTTTTAATTGTCCAATTAATTTCTTTCTATTTTTAGTAGAGACGGGGTCTTGCTCAGGCTGGTTTTGAACTCCTGACCTTGAGCAATCCACCCGCCTCGGCCTCCCAGAGTGCTAGGATTACAGGCGTGAGCCACCGCACCCGGCCTCTTGAATGGTTTTAAAAGATAATTGCCATTTGGAGAAATGTGCTCTGCTGGGGCAGTTACAACTGTACTTGCTGATAATATTCTCAAAGCAATTCCTAGATTTGGAAACAAACTAGGAATTTTACGTATCATTACACTGAATTTACATATATGAATGACCATTATCACAGAATGTATTACAAAATATTTTATCATATATAATATTTATATCATTTAAAAAACAATTTCCTAAAGGAATATCTAGCTCCATATAGTATTTCTTAAGTTATTTTGAAGATATGTTTGTCAAAGTAGGTGGGCAGAACACATTTTATTTAATAGTATATTAGCTTGATCTATAACTTTTAAATATTTCTATATGAAAGGCAGCTTCAATTTATATTCTTGACCTAGGTCTTGCAACTGTCTCGAGCAGGCCTGTTTATAAATGTCCTGAGGAGTTTTCCATGGAACATCTGTTTGGGAAAAGTTGATGTGTACACATTGGAAGTTGTAAGTACTGTTTCCGATTCTCTTTCCATTTCACATTGACTTGCTGCCAACATCCTTAATATTATTTTTCTTTCCATCAAACCTGACTTCCACAGTAATTATACAGATTGACTCACTGACTTTTCTGTCATATCATCCATAATTAGATTAAAATTCTTTTGGTCCTATGGTGAGTGTCTGGGAAAACAATGCTCTTAATTCAGCGTTCCACATCATCAGCCAAATCCCAGGGTTGTAAAGTCTTTAAGCCCTAGATGGCCAGTATAGTTGCATCTGCCACCATGTTGTCTTTGGTACCCACGGCAGACATTGCTAACTGATCACAGAATCCTTCCCACTGATCTGGATGCAGCTTCAGAATGCATTCTACACAATGTCACGGGTAGCCATACTGACCATTTGGAGCTGGCACAGATAGTGAAACTTACTTGCCTTCTGCTACAGTTTGGATGTTTGTCCTCCCAAACTTCATGTTGAAATTTGATCCCAATGTTGGAGGTGGGGCCTAATAGGAGGTGTTTGGGTCATGGGGGCAGATCCCTCATGGATAGATTAATGCCCTCCCAGAGTGCTAGGATTACAGGTGTGAGCCACCGCACCCGGCCAACATTGATATCTGGTAGAGTAAGTCCTCCAATTTTGTTCTTCTTTAATATTATTGTGGCTATTCTTTGCTCTTTGTATTTCATGTAAGTTTTAGAATCAGCTGGTCAATTTCCACACATCCCCAAAAAAGTTATTGAGATTTTAATTTGGTTTAATTGGAATCCATACATCAGTGTGTGGAGGAATAATATATTTATAACATTGAATCTTCCAATCTATCTCTCCTTTATTTAGGACATTTTTAATTTCTCCAAATAATATTTTATAGTTTTCTGTGTAAAGTTCTTACAATCTATCATTAGATTTATTCCTATGTAGTTGATGGTTTTTGATGCTATTATAATGGTAAAATTTCTAAAATTTCACTTTCTAATTGTTTGTTGCTGGTATACAGAAATACAATTGATTTTTTTCTATATTGACCTTTTATCCAGTGACCTTGCTGAATTCACTTATTAATTCTAATAGCTTATCTATAGATACTTTTAGACTCACTACATACATAATTATGTCATCTGCAAGTAACAGTGTACCTACTATTTTCCAATCCTAGTACTTTTGTTTCTTACCTTATTCCACAGGCTAAGAACTCTGGTATAATCTTGAACAGAGGAGGTGATAGCAGATATCTTTGTCTTGGAATTTAATTTGGGAAAAGATTTTTAAATTACAGATAAAATTGGTTTCTTCAGTAGATTTAGGACTATTCACCTTTCTCTTTCTTCTTGTGTCGATTTTAGTAACATGTGTATTCCTAGTGGCATGAGTTGTGCACAATGTTCTTTTCATTATTTTAAGTATCTGTAGGATTTGAAATGGTGTCCCCTTTTCATCCTTTATATTTGTTATTTGTACTTTCTCTATTTCTTCTGATCAGTCTTAACAGAGGCTTTTCCATTTTATTAGTCTTTTTAAAAATCAACTTTTGGCTTTATCTATCTATATTTCCATAGTTTATTAATTTCTGCTCTTTGTTATTTCCTTCCTTCTCCTTTTTTTGGGTTTATTTTTGTTCCTTTTGGAACTTCTTGAGATGGATACACAGATCATTGCCTTTTGTCCTTCTTTTTCTAGTATTAATATTTGCATTTAAGGCTTTCCAAACAGCTTTAGTTCCATCCCATAAGTTTATATAGATTGCATTCCCAATATTTCAACTCAAAATATATTTTCATTTTCATTGTTATTTCTTCCTTGATTCATAGGTTATTTAAAATTAGGCAATAAAAATATTGTTTAATTTCTAAATATTTTACAATTTCCTAGTTTTCTTTTTGTTGTTGATTTCTAGTTTAATTCCACTATGGTCATAGAATATACCATGCCTAATTTTGATTCTCTGGAAGCTGTTGAGACTTACTTGATGACCTAGCATATGATCAATTTTGATAATGTTCCATACATATTTGACAATAATGTATATTCTACAGATGTTTTAGTATTGTGTTCTAAATATATCAATAAGGTTATGTTTATTACTTGTGTTATTTGAGTCATCTCTATTCTTACTGATTTTGACTTGTTCTATCATTTCCTGAGAGAATGGTATTGAAATTTCCCACCATAATTATGAATTTTTCTGTTCTCCTTTTAGTTCTATCAATTTTTTACTTTCTATATTTTGAGGCTATATTATTAGTATACACAAATTAGGCATTTTATTTTTTTCTGTTGAGTTGACCCTTTTATTTAACATCTCTTTCATCTATAGCAGCATTTCTCAACTGCGCACTATTGACATTCTGGGCAGGTAATTCTTTGTTGGGTGGGAGGTGCTGACTTTTGCACTGTAAGATGTTTAACAGCAATCTTATCCTCAACCCTCTAGATGGTAATAGCATCCTCACCCCCAGTCATGACAATCAAAAATATCTCTAGACATTGTCAAATGTCCACTGGGGAACAAAATCATTCCTGGTTGAGAATCACAGATGTATAGTTATGTTTTGTACCTTAAAGTCAATTTTGTCTGATATCAGTAGAGCCATTTTCTGTTGGTATTTGAAAAGGTTTTTTTTTCTATCATTTTATTTTCAACTTTTCAATATCCTTACTCAAGATGTCTCTTGTAAGCAGTATAAAGTTGATTGTCTTTTAAAATGGTCTCATATTCTTTTAATTATAATTGGAGTACATGTTTGTTTTACCTTTAATGTGGTCACTAATATATTTGGGTTTAACTCTGTGATGTGATTATTTATTTCATATTTAATTATTCTATGTTCTTTTTTCTCTCCTTTCTTGCCATTTTGGAGTATTTATTATTTTATTTTGTTATCCCTCCATTAGCTGAACATTCTTTTCTTTTCTTTTTTTTTTTTTTTTTTTGAGACAGAGTCTCGCTCTGTTGCCCTGGATAGAGTGTGTGGCATGAGCCTAGCTCACAGCAACCTCAAACTCCTGGGCTCGAGTGATCCTTCTGCCTCAGCCTCCCGGGTAGCTGGGACTACAGGCATGCGCCACCATGCCCGGCTAATTTTTTTATATATATATCAGTTGGCCAATTAATTTCTTTCTATTTATAGTAGAGACGGGGTCTCGCTCTTGCTCAGGCTGGTTTTGAACTCCTGACCTTGAGCAATCCGCCCGCCTCGGCCTCCCAAGAGCTAGGATTACAGGCGTGAGCCACAGCGCCCGGCCTAGCTGAACATTCTTTTATTATGCTTTTACTAGTTATCCTAGAAATCTCAACATATATCTTTAACTTATTAAAATGTATATGTTAATACTTTTGCCACTTTCTGTATTTTTTGTTGGACTATTACTTTTTATTTTATAAGTCCTTCTTCAAACAATTCCAAATATAGAAGAAACAAATACCATACCCAAATACAAGCAAGAAGGAGAATGAAAAGGAAATACAGAAAATAAAAATATCATCTTCTTTCAGAGAAGTCTGGATGAAGTAGCTAATCATTCACAGCATAGTAGATAACAATGATTTTTTTTTTTTTTTTTTGAGACAGAGTCTTACTCTGTCACCTGGGCTAGAGTGCCCTGGCATCAGCCTAGCTCACAGCAACCTCAAACTCCTGGGCTCAAGTGATTCTCCTGCCTCAGCCTCCCAAGTAGCTGGGACTACAGGCACGCACCACCATGCCTGGCTAATTTTTTCTGTTTTTAGTAGAGACATGGTCTCCCTCTTATTCAAGCTGGTCTTGAACTTCTGAGCTCAAGCGATCCTCCCACCTTGGCCTCCCAGAGTGTTAGGATTACAGGCATTAGCCAACATACCTGGCCAACATGACATTTTTAATAAAACAAAACAACAGTCCCACTAGTTTTAGCTTCTTGCCATGATGCCCCCTACCGTAGCGTATCTTAAAGCACAGGCCTTTTTGGGTGGTTTTGCTGATGGTGGCTTATAAAGTGCCTAAACAATTAAGAGTACTCGGCCGGGTGTGGTGGCTCATGCCTGTAATCCTAGCACTCTGGGAGGCCGAGGCGGGCAGATTGCTCGAGGTCAGGAGTTCAAAACCAGCCTGAGCAAGAGCGAGACCCTGTCTCTACTATAAATAGAAAGAAATTAATTGGCCAACTAATATATATAGAAAAAATTAGCTGGGCATGGTGGTGCATGCCTGTAGTCCCAGCTACTTGGGAGGCTGAGGCAGAAGGATTGCTTGAGCCCAGGAGTTTGAGGTTGCTGTGAGCTAGGCTGATGCCATGGCACTCATTCTAGCCTGGGCAACAAAGCAAGACTCTGTCTAAAAAAAAAAAAAGAGTACTCATAGAATTTGCTCTTCCTTTGTACTAGGAGTTAATGTATTAGCCAAAAAGGAGGCACAGCTCTTCAAACCTCACATACCAGGTGCTGTCCCAGGTGCCGGGGATACATTAATGATAATATCAAGCAAGATCTTTTTCTTCATGGAGCTTACCTTCCATTGGTGGTCTTTTTGGAGAGAAAGAAGGAAACATTGCCATTTTCTGTCTTCTTGATATAAAGTGTCTTCCTCTTCTCCAAGTATTGTGCTGGGGTGAGTTGCCTTAGTTTGGGTTCTTCCAGAAGCAAACACTACCCTGTACTACTGCTTAGGCCTGACCTGTCCCTCTACAATCCTTTGCTACCCCCGTTGGATTTCCAGGGGGAATATTAACCAATGAAAACAAGATGTGTCTACCACATGTAAACATCTGAGCGAGAGTCTTCTCATGGACACTCAGCGTGGCGTCAGCAGACCTGCAGCTGACTCAGTTTACAGACTTGTCTAGCGATTACAATAGCACAGGTTAGTCAATCTGCAGGCTCTGGCACTATTACTTCTGTGGCCATTGGACTGGTAATAGAATATTCATTTTAAAACTCTACCCCACCAGCTTAGGTCTCCTTTAGGTTTCCCAGACTGTGGAGGTGAAGAGTGGGCATTGGCTGCTTCTCTATTTCTTCTCCTTATTCTTCATTACATGCTGTCTGCTCATGGGAGATGATTCTGTGAGTCGCTTCCCAACTTCACATTCAGTGACAGCACTGCAAAGGACACAGATGAAGAGCTGCACAGAGCAAGGTGGGGGAGAAGGGGTGCAGAGCCTCCCTGCCCTCTCTGGGGCACCACCCTCCAGGAACCCCCACGTGTTCAGCCGCCCGAAAGCTCCATCACTTTCTGAATTATTCTTAATTCAATTTACCTCAATCCCATTTTTTGTGAATTTTTAATTCTCCATATATATAACCCAAGTAAGTGACCATTACTTAATTTTACATGGTCAACTTTTATTTAGATTTACTCAAATATTTATTCTTTCCATTGTTCTTCACTTCTTCCTGTATGTCACCGTTTACATCTGAGCTTGTTTTCTTTCTGCCTGACTAGCTCCCATTAGTGTTTCATTTAGTGCAGCTCTGTTGCTGCTGAATTCTCTAGCTTTATATTTGTCTTAAAATTACCTTTATTTCTCTTTTGTTTGAAATAGTTTGCTTGGTTTAGAATTTTGGATTGCTAATTATTTTCTTTGTGTTGATAAATCAACTATCAATCTTTTTGCGGCACCTCTGAAGATACTGTGTTTTTGCCTTTGTCTTCTTTTCATATATTCTCTTTGCCTACAGGTTTCAACAATTCACTATTATGATCTTAGGATTGGCTTCTTTGTATTTATCATGATTGATGCTCAAAATACTTTTTAATCCATGGTTTGATATGTGTCTCAGTTAATTTTGGCTGCTATAAAAAATATGATAGATAGGGTGGCTTAAACAATATTATTTACCTTTCACTGTTCAGGAGGCTGGGAAGTCCAAGATCAATGCATCAGCAGATCTGGTGTCTGATGAGGGCTCTTTTCCTAGTTTGCAGATGGCCATCTTCTCGATGTATCTTCATACAGAGAGGGAAAGAGAGAGACACAGAGAGAGAGGGGAAGCAAGCTCTTTTGTATCTCTTCTTATAAAGGCACTAATCCCATCATGAGGGCTCCACTCACTGACCTAATTACTTCCCAAAGCTCCCATCTCCACATACCACCACACTGGGGATTAGGGTTTCAACATATGAATTTGGCTTCGAGGGGCATAAACATTCAATTCTTAGCAATATCTTTCATCAGTTTTAGGAAATTTTTGACCATCATTGCTCAAATACTGCTTCTACCCTGTTGCGCTGACAATGACTGCTCGGAGACCAGATGAAATGCACCAAGGGACCGAGAGGGGGAGACACCACCTGCACCTCTGGAAGAGGCTTAAGGCAGTGACCATGACCACAGTCCTCACGGATATTTACTGAAGCACAACAGTAGGTGAGAAGCCGGGAATGAAGAAATGGGAGGAAGTTACCGAGAGGTTAATAACAGAAAGAAGGAACATGGGAGGCGTAAGATGTTGTTTTGTTCTGCTAGCAAACCTTTGCTGCTGATTGTATCCACTTCAGTTGCTGTTTTCAGCAGGTACTGTGGGCAGTGCTGACGTCAAAGACGCTCTCATGGCTTTTGCCTCAAGGGGTCTGACCTGTAGTTTCCTACACTCCTCCATTCTCTCTCTCATCATCGTTATTTGGGACTCCACATTAGACTTTTTCAACATACCTCACAAACAGAAAAAGAGTAGCTTATGAATACTAACTAACGGAAAGCTGGTTGAGTATACTATGTCCTTTTCTGTTTCTTCCTTTTTCCTCTCCGGGCTTCGGTCTTTTCCTTCTGATCTATCTTCCAGGTCGCTAGCTCTCTTCAGCTGTATCTAATCTGCTATTAAACCCTGCTTCGGTGATCTACCACAAGGTAACAAACCCAGCCCCAAATTTTGTAGCTTGAAACAACTGCCACTATTATTTGCTCATGATTCCGTGACTTGGGTAAGGCTCAGCGGGGACAGCTTGTCTCTGTGCCATGTGGTGTTGGCAAGGATAGCTTAACTGGAGTTGGAGGGTCCAAGGTGGCTTCATTCACATGTCTGGCACCTCAGACATGTGGGGGGACTAGCGAGGCCTCTTTCCCCACCCCTCTGTCTCTGTCTCTCTCTCTAGTCTTTCATTCTCCAAGACTTCTCTCTCTCCCACTCTCCCTCCACACTAGTAGGGTATTTGTAATTCTTTACATGGTGGGTCAGGACTCCAAAAGAGTGAAGAAAACAAAACCTGGTAGGCCTCTTCATGCCTAGGCCTAGAACTAGCCAAGCATAACTTCTTCCAGATACTTCACATGGTTAGATATGCTAGCCTCCCAGGCATTCTGCAACATTACTTCGTCTGCCATGGTTTTGACTCCTTCACCATTCTCCTTGTTCTCCACGGATCCTAGACCTAGAACAATGACATGCATAGCAATACTCAATGGAATATGTATTAAATAAATGAATGAACAAATGAATGCTAACCATTGAGCTAATGCTACCTTCAGCAGCATATACCCTAATATTGGGACAATACTAGCAAACATGGTAGGCAAATTTGCAAATTCTTCAAGCCTTTAATATCGTCTACATCTTGAACCTTCTCTCGCCAAATAACTAGTAACTCAGTAAAATTAAGCAGTTTGTTCCTGGGCCTGGGACAGGACAGCGAAGGGGTGATATTCAGAATAATCTCAATGGAAACAGCCTTTGGGTTGAAAGTCTGAGGACCTGAAAAAAATCCTCCTATTCCTTCCCCAGATAAGATCCTAGGTAGCTCAAGCAGCATCTTTCAAAACTATTAACATGTTCTGAGGTTACTACTGGGGTGCTCTCTGCTTCTCTACTTGGTGGCCTGAGTGCAGCTGCTGCCACTACCTAGCCCCACTGTGGCAATGCTGGCTGACCCCTGCCTTTGACCCCCACCTCCTATCGTGGCCCATATTGATTTAATGGTGCCTTTGGCCAACATAGGACTGCCTTTGACGCTCACACTGAAGTGGGATTTCTCTCTCACCACAAGTAGTATATTACAGTTTTTTTTTGTTTTTATTTTTGAGACAGAGTCTTGCTTTCATTGCCCAGGCTAGAGTGAATGTCGTGGCATCAGCCTAGCTCACAGCAACCTCAAACTCCTGGGCTCAAGCAATCCTGCTGCCTCAGCCTCCTGAGTAGCTGGGACTACAGGCATTCGCCACCATGCCCAGCTAATTTTTTCTATATATATTAGTTGGCCAATTAATTTCTTTCTATTTATAGTAGAGACGGGGTCTCGCCCTTGCTCAGATTGGTTTTGAACTCCTGACTTCGAGCAATCCGCCCGCCTCGGCCTCCCAGAGTGCTAGGATTACAGGCGTAAGCCACCGCGCCTGGACAGCCCCTTCTCTTTCAAGGAATGTGAGTCTCTTTTCCCTGAGACTGTATCAGAAGACATTTGAGAGATACCTCTACTGGCAAAGTATGGAAACTGACTGATTCAAGGTCCAGAGAGCTCTCTTATGACATGTTGATTTTGTGTGTGTGTGTGTGTGTGTGAGAGAGAGAGAGAAAGAAAGAGAGAAAGAGAGAGAGAGAGAGAGAGATTAACATCAATTGTTCCTGACTCTTTCCACAATTTTGTTCATACCATGTTAACAACAACAAAGATAACAACATTGACTAACATTTAATGAGCACTCACTATGTGCTAGGCACTGTTCTAAGTGCTTTGTACGTAGCCTACATAATTTGGGGCAGAGAAATAGATTTTAGGCAATTGAAGCGACACAGAACGTGAATGTGGGGGCAAGATTTGAGGGAACAGTTAGAGTTTTACTAGGAAGCTGAGTCAAGATATGAAAGGAGAAGATGGAAACAGGATCAAGTCAACAAAGTATGTGGATGCATATGCGTGAGAAGAGGATGGCAAAATAGATCAAGGAGCCAAGGGCAGGGAGAACTATTAGCATACAGGGATTTGAGGATGCTAAAATCAAAAGTGAGCAAAGAAAATTGATATTATCACCATTTGTGAATATATTTCCTTCCAAGTTCCAGAAGTAAAATTAATTATGTTCTATTTTGATAAAACAAACAGACCAGCTCCAGGGGCAACATTGACTGAAATAAAATACATCAGACTCTTTTAATGGTCCTAGTGATATCTCTAAAGGGTTACATATTATCTGTTAAATATTTGAATAGAGCATTGTTCTGGAATAGCCACAGCTGGGTCCTTTGCCTAAAGTGGAGGAACCAGTCTGAAAGCTCTGTCTGCAGTGAAAGCCACAGGGCAATGCTTCATCCCCAGTACCAACGTGTTGACAAGGTGGTCTGCATCCAGCCTGACAGATGGGCTCTTAGCCAGGCTCATCTGGAGATTCCTGATGACCAACCAGAGAGCCCCTGTGGGCACATTATTAAGTCAGGCTTGGTTAAGGCATGAGAGTTGCACAAATGACCTGTGCTGAACAATCAGACCAGGCTCAACTGCAAACCTGAAACCAAAGCCTAGACTGGGAGAAATTTCCACCTTCTCAAAATAACCAAACCCCATCAATTATCCCCTCTTTGGTCTCTGTCTTCAACCACTCTACTGGCTGCTTTTCCTCACCACAAACTTAAATTTCTCCTATTTTTACAAACCAGCCAAACAGGCACAACAGAACAACTCTCCCTTTATGCTTTCTTGCTACCCCTTCACCACTGCTGGGAATGAGTTGTCTACACTTCCTGCCTCCACATTTTCACCTCTCACATCTGAAGCCACTGCTCTCTGCTTTCTTCCCACTACCATTCAGTGGAACAGTTCCCAGCAAGGTCACCAATGACTTCTCAATCACCAGATATGATGGACCCACCTCCTTCTGTACCTTACTTGGCCTCCCTGTGGCAGCTATGTGGACATCATCTTTCTTCTAGAAATTCTTTGGCTCCTTGGCTCCTAGGTTACTACATTCTTCTTTTTCTGGCTGACCCTTAGATGTTGGTGTTACATAGTCTCCTGGGTCTGTCATGGTTTCAATGACCATTTGTATACCAATATCACTCAAATCTCTACATTATGCCTTGACTACTTTCTCTAAGCTGTACATTCAGCTGCCCACTAAACATCTCTCTGGATGCCCCATGGAAACCAACACATCCCAAACCACTCATGATCTAATCTCCAAACCTGCCCATCCTTAATGGATTCCCTCACCTTCGTGAGTGTCAAAATTAATCAACCTGTTGCTTAAGCCAGAAACCACGTAATCATTTTTGACTCCTCCTTCTTCCTATGCACCTGCCCCCCAACAAGTCAGCAACCTTGATCTCAATCCTTGTCTTCTCTCTCTTGCTGAGAGCCTCTCAACTGAGGTCCTGCCCAGCCTCTCACTCCCAAATCTACCTGTACACTGACCAGCAGAGTAATCCTATCTAAACCCAAACTATGATAACATCCCTCCCTTGCATAATGTCCTACCATTGTGGCCCTCCAACTGACCACTTTTCCCTCTCATTTCTCTCCTCTTCCGCGGATCTTACCTTGCGCCCACAGGAAGGTTGGCCCGTACCGGCAAGCGGATGACAGGGCTTTGGCAGCTAGTCAGACGGATTTAGTTTGGCATAAGAGGATATAGGAATCATTCTACAGATTCATGAGCAGCACGTGACATAAAGACAGCTGCACACAGCAGGTTCTAGGAGTGAAAGACAGTAGCAGATTATTAAAACTGAGGCAAAAGCACCTAGACTAGTCTTCCATAGTGAGAAAAGATGAAAAAGTGAACCTGTAGACAAGTAAGGGTAAATAACTTAAAAAGAAAGTCCTGAGATGCAAGTAGTAAGGAAATGCATTAGTAAAGTAATGCCAACACACTATTAACAAAGTAAACAAGCCACAGGAAGTCTGGAGACTTTAAAGCCCCATTATTGGAAGCCCAGCACCAGGGAACAAGAGCAG